GCAAAATGGCACAACCTGGAAGAATCCTCCATCTTGTGCGACAGTGGAGCAGAACAGAAAACTCCACATCTGTATGCTTGCCCACAATGCCCTGCCTCATGCACAGAGGAAGAATTGTTTACAGCTACAGACAATGTAGTTGCTGTATTGTAGAAGGCTTTCATGGCCGGAATCACTGGGTTGTTGTAGGGTTTTTTGGGCTATATGGCCATGTACTAGAGGCATTCTCTCCTGATGTTTCGCCTGCATCTATGGCAAGCATCCTCAGAGGTAGTGAGGTCTGTTGGAAGTAGGAAAAAGAGTTTATATATCGTCGAAGGCTTTCATGGCCGGAATCACTGGGTTTTTGTAGGTTTTTTTGGGCTATATGGCCATGTACTAGAGGCATTCTCTCCTGACGTTTCGCCTGCATCTATGGCAAGCATCCTCAGAGGTAGTGAGGTCTGTTGGAACTAGGAAAAAGAGTTTATATATCGTCGAAGGCTTTCATGGCTGGAATCACTGGGTTGTTGTAGGTTTTTTCGGGCTATATGGCCATGGTCTAGAGGCATTCTCTCCTGACGTTTCGCCTGCATCTATGGCAAGCATCCTCAGAGGTCGTGAGGTCTGTTGGAACTAGGAAAAAGGGTTTATATATCTGTGGAATGACCAGGGTGAGACAAAGGTCTCTTGTAGGTTTTTTCGGGCTATATGGCCATGTTCTAGAGCATTCTCTCCTGACGTTTCGCCTGCATCTATGGCAGCATCCTCAGAGTAGTGAGGTCTGTTGGAAACTAGGAAAAAGAGTTTATATGTCGAAGGCTTTCATGGCTGGAATCACTGGGTTGTTGTAGGTTTTTTGGGCTATATGGCCATGTACTAGAGGCATTCTCTCCTGACGTTTCGCCTGCATCTATGGCAAGCATCCTCAGAGGTAGTGAGGTCTGTTGGAAGTAGGAAAAAGAGTTTATATATCGTCGAAGGCTTTCATGGCCGGAATCACTGGGTTTTTGTAGGTTTTTTTGGGCTATATGGCCATGTACTAGAGGCATTCTCTCCTGACGTTTCGCCTGCATCTATGGCAAGCATCCTCAGAGGTAGTGAGGTCTGTTGGAAGTAGGAAAAAGAGTTTATATATCGTCGAAGGCTTTCATGGCCAGAATCACTGGGTTGTTGTAGGTTTTTCCGGGCTATATAATATAATTATTTAATTATTTTGTATATTATATATTTATAATACATAAATTATATATTATGCACCGGGATTGTGGCGCAGCTGGCTGAGTGTCAGCTGCATTAAGATCACTCTGACCAAAAGGTCATGAGTTTGAAGCCCGGGTTGGAGTGAGTTTCCAACCAATTGTGTAGCCTGTTGTTGACCTCTGCTCCAGCAGACAAGAGTCCTTTGTCCCACGCTGGTCATTCCACAGATATAGAAACCCATTTTCCTACTTCCAACAGACCTCACTCCCTCTGAGGATGCTTGCCATACATGCAGGCGAAACGTCAGGAGAAAATGCCTCTAGAACATGGCCCTATAGCCCCAAAAAACCTACAACAACCCAGTGATTCTGGCCATGAAAGCCTTCGACAATACCCCCGTTCATGTCTGCTTTTTTGGCGTGTCTCGCTTGCCGTAGTTCTCCCTCACCACCTTCCTACCTCTTATACCTGGCGTCCTCTCTCTTCCTTCTCTCCAGTCAGAAGTGTGTTGACGTCATTTCCGGAGGAGGGGAAAGAGGAAAGGGGAGGGGCATTGGGGGAGATCACAGATATTTTTTAAAGGGACAGACTCCTAATTTGTTCCTTGGGTGGGAGGAATGAATGACTTCTCCATCCAGCCCATTTCAACTGCCTTGGCCTAATAATGCTATGGGATGGTGGGACTTGTAGTTTTGGCAAGGACAAACATTAGAAGTAACTCATTTTTGGTGGGTTTTTGATCACTGGTCCCAATTATTAATACTGTACACCAGATTTGGTGGAAGTGGGGGACACATTGGTGTTTGGGTGTGGGTGAACTACAACTCCCATCGCAGGGACAGCTTAGCCTTCGCATTCTGAACTCCCATTGCCTCCCTAAAACGATACCAGGAGGTAAAGTTGGTCATGGTGGGTCTGTGTGTCAAGTTTGGTCCAGATCTATTGTCGGTGGGGTTCGCATTGTTCTCCTAATATGGGTGAACTATAACTCCCAGCGTCCTCTGTCATCGCCCCCAAACACACACACACAAGATTAGATGATGCCCAGCTAGGGGTTTGGTAAGGATAAACATTAGAAGAAGTCATTGTTTGTTTATTTTATGAATGGTCCCATTAGAAAATGCATAAGGATGTGGGTGAACTACAATTCCCACCATCATTGTCTGTCATTGCCCCCAAACCGAACCAGTAGTTAAACTTAGTCACGATGGGTCTGTGTGACAAGAGTGGTCCAGATCTATTGTCGGTGGGGTTCGAATTGTTCTCCCAATATGGGTGAACTATAACTCCCAGTGACCTCTGTCATCGCCCCCAAACACACACACTAACTTAGATGATGCCCAGCTAGGGGTTTGGTAAGGATAAACATTAGAAGAAATCATTGTTTGTTTTTGGATTTTATGAATGCTCCCATTAGAAAATGCATAAGGATGTGGGTGAACTACAATTCCCACCATCATTGTCTGTCATTGCCCCAAAACTAAACCAGTAGCTAAACTTAGTCATGATGGGTCTGTGTGCCAAGTGTAGTCCAGCTCTATTGTCGGTCGGGCTTGCATTGTTCTCCCAGTATGGGTGAACTATAACTCCTATCATCCCCTGTCGTTGTCCCCAAACACACACACATTAGTTTGGGTACCCAGTGTTGCTAAGCTAGGGATTTGGTATGGATAAACATTAGAAGAAGTCATTATTTGTTTATGGATTTTTATGAATGGTCCCATTAGAAAATACCTAAGGATATATGAGTGTACTACAACTCCCACCAACATCTATCATTGCCCCCAAAGCAAACCAGTAGCTAAACTTAGTCATTATGGGTTTGTGTACCAAGTGTGGTTCAGATCTATTGTCGGTGGGGTTCACATTGTTCTCCCAACATGGGTAAACTATAACTCCCAGCGTCCTCTGTCATCGCCCCCATACACACCCACACTAAATTAGATGATGCCCAGCTAGGGATTTGGTAAGGATAAACATTAGAAGAAGTCGTTGTTTGTTTGTTTATTTTAGGAATGCTCCCATTAGAAAATGCATAAGGATGTGGGTGAACTACAACTCCCACTATCCTCCCCTGTCATTGCCCCAAAACCAAACCAGTAGTTAAAGTTAGTTGTGATGAGATTGCGTGCCAAGTGTGGTCCAGATCTATTGTTGGAGGGGTTCACATTGGTCTCCAAATATGGGTGGACTATAACTCCCATCGTCCCCTGTTGTCAGCCTCAAACTTTGCCGGTAATACACACAAAGATATTGACAAGCTGGAACATGTCCAGAAGAGGCCGACTAAAATGATCAAAGATGTGTAGACCATGAATCCCTTTGAGGAACGGCTTAAAGAGCTGGATCTGTTTAGCCTATAAAAGAGAAGGTTGAGAGGAGACATGATAGCTATGTATAAATATTTGAGAGGATGTCCTAAGGAAGAGGGAGCAGGCTTGTTTTCTGCTGCAACTGGAAGCAATGGGTTCAAACGACAGGAAAGAAGATTCCACCTGAACATTAGGAAGAACTTCCTGATCGCACCCTGGTGGTGCAGCGGATTAAACTGCTGAGCTGCTGAACTTACTGACCAAAAGGTTGTCGGTTTGAATCCAGGGTTTGGGGTGAGCACCCCTGTTTATGTCTTCAAAACCTTCTTTAAAAGTTTGCCTGAAAAGAAAAGTTTTAGTCTGCTGCGGGAAGGACTGCCGGGAGGAGGACATGCGACCACTTGCTCAGCTGGTTCAAGGTTTTGGGCTTGAGTGTTACCAGTACGCTGATGACACTCAGCTGGTGCTGAAGATGGAAGGCCGACCGGACTCTGTACCCGATTGTTTCCATCAGTGCCTCGAGGCCGTTACTGGATGGCTGCGTGCCAGCAGGTTGAGGGTGAATCCAGCAAAGACGGAGATCCTATGGCTGGGTGGACCGGGCAGTGGGGACATCCATCTGCCCACCCTGGATGGCGAGGCGTTACGCCCGTCATCATTGGTAAAGAGTCTGGGAGTCCTTTTGGACCCTCTGCTGACAATGGAGGCCCAGGTCTCCGCCGTGAGCAGAACCGCCTTCTTTCACCTGCGGCAGGCTAGACGGCTGGCCCCCTACCTGTCCAGGGACGACCTAGCTACGGTGATCCAGGCCACGGTCATCTCAAGGCTGGACTACTGTAACGCCCTCTACATTGGCCTCCCTCTGTCGGTGATTCGGAAGCTCAAGTTGGTACAAAACGCAGCTGCTCGGCTTCTTGTGGGAATTCCGATGAGATGCCACATAACACCAATCTTACTGCAGCTGCATTGGTTACCAATTGAGCACCGGATCACTTTCAAAGTGATGGTACTCACCTTTAAGGCCTTGCATGGTCTGGGGCTGATGTACCTGAGGGACCACCTCACCCCCTACCAACCCCAGAGATCCCTCCGTTCTGAGGACCAAGATCTATTGGAAATCCCAGTGTCAAGACCTTGCGTCTAACAGCAACCAGACGCAGAGCCTTCACAGCAGTGGCACCATCACTCTGGAATACTCTGCCACCTGAAGTCCGTGTTTTTAAATTGTTTTAAATTGTTTTAAATTGTGTTCGATTTTAGCCTGTTCTTGTAAGCCGCTCCGAGCCCCAGGGGAGTGGCGGCATAGAAGTTTGAATAATAAATAAATAAATAAATAAATAAATAAATGACTGTGTCCTGTCTTCTTGCTGGGTGACTGCCTCCCACTCAGTGGCCAGCAGAAGGTCAGTTGGTGAATGTCAACTGCTAGAGCCCCTCCTACTATCACCAACTGACATGCCAGTGGACACAGGGTGGGAGGCAGACAGAGCTGTAACCAGAAAAAAATTTCAGGGGGGTTTGAAAACTTTGGGGAGGGTTTTGAAAATTTCGGGGGGGGGAGTTGAAACCTGCCTCCTAGCTCACACTGAAGCAAAGAGCACAGCAGGGGCAGAGCAGCCTTCAATAGTCTGCAGCTCTGCCCCTGTGAACCATCTCCACCAAGTCTGGCCTCCTTAATGAGAGCATTCAACACCAACACCCCCCCCGCCAACTTAGTTGCTTTGCTGCAAGTAATGAAAGTGTGAATAAATTGTCAATATTTGCTTGAGATAGTGCTTGCAGTTCTGGAGGGACTCTAAATTTTCTGCGTCTCATAGACTTAGCATGGGGATTTGGTTAATTAGTTAAAATTCATGAGTAAACCAGGAGGCAAACATCTTGCAAGACATTGCAGAATTATGCTCCCTGTAGTAGCTGCTGAAAGCCTCTTCCACTATCACCAACTGCTACCGGGCACAATTCAAAGTGCTGGCATTGGCCTATACAGCCCTAAACGGTTCTGGCCCAACTTACCTGTGCGAACGCATCTCCTCCTATGAACCAGTTAGGACATTAAGATCATCTAGAGAAGCTCTGCTCTCAGTCCCGCCTGCATCACAGGTACTGTTCTGTTGCGCGCTGGGCCTGTAATAGCTGTCTCTTCTATTGGACGTATACTTTAAGCCCAGCGGGAAGCCAGGGGCGCCTCAAAGAGTGGTTCTCAGGGATTTTTCTGAAGTGATGGTCTTTAGAGTCTTTAATGATGCAACAAAGTCTTTATTATGGAACAATAATAAAGTAAATTTCAGTTTTCCTGGATGGTCCTTTTTCCCCTGGATGATTAGATTCCCTGGAAGCTCTTTTTCCCTGGATGCTCAGTTTCCTTTTTTCCCTGGAAGCTCTTAAGAAAGGAAGCTTTTCTACGGGATGAGCTGGTCTACGTCCTATAGCTTAGCTACCTTGTGTGAGACTGCCCAAAATGGCTCCTTTCCCTCCCAGAGCCTGAACAAGGGGCGGAACCAAAGCTTAATTAAGATGGACAGGAGGCCTGCCCTATGACTGCAAACTTTAACAGAAAGAAATAAAGTTGCTCTCGTTGCCGCCTGCATCACAAGTACGTCTGGCGGGGATGAGAGACAGGGCCTTCTCAGTGGTGGCCCCTCAGCTGTGGAACACCCTTCCTACAGAAATTAGATCGGCCCCCTCCCTGTTGGCATTTCAGAGGAAAGTGAAGACCTGGTTGTTCGAGCAGGCATTTGAATAGGCCGTGTAATGAACATGGGAATACAGAACAACGGATGTTGAGACGTTAATGAGATGTTATATTGATGTTTATCTGTTTAGTATGTTATTATTGTATGTTTTTAAACTCTTTTTATGATGTTGAGCATTGAATTTTGCTATTGTTAACCACTTTGAGTCGCCCAAGGGCTGAGAAAAGTGGTATATAAATGAAGTAAATAAATAATAAATAAATATCTGCTGAGCAAACAGCTGCGAAGGTAGATGATGGCTGCAACAGATAAGAGGCCACTAATCATTGTGGTGGGCCCCCGGTCTTGCAGTGGGTTAAACCACTGAGCTGCCGAACTTGCTGACCGAAAGATTGGCGGTTCAAATCCAGGGAGTGGGGTGAGCTCCCATCTGTCAGCTCCAGCTCCTGCCAACCTAGCAGTTTGAAAATGTGCAAATGTGAGTAGATAAATAGATCTGCGGGAAG